AGTGCTGAGATAATAACTGTGCTGGCCTTGAAAGAAGCGAAGCAGTTGATTGATCGATCAAAAACCGACTACCAGGTTTGGAAAAATAGCTGAAGCTATGTAGTGTGCAAAAATGTAATCGCCATTTTAACAAGAAGTTCCATTTTTTAATAAGAAACCGGAATCCCTGCATGTCGATCTTTATACAATACTGTATTCAGCAATGCGTACGCTTACGTAGGAGTTCTGTACTGTAATCTGGAATGCCTTTATGAAAAATATTTTCATTTCTGTGTACAATTTTGACTTCCATTAACATCTTATAAAGCGAGAAGAAATCTTCGTGATACACGAAGTAGGGAACCTATATTTTATGAACTGAACGATTTCTCATTAAACGATACATCTTTTGGCCTTTTTTTCTAAAGCTTACAATATTTTAAGCTAATTTTCGATGTTGTAAAGTAAGCTTTTCTAGACAGAATGTATTTTTTTGCGTTCTTGGCGCCCAAGACATGCGTTTTTTTATTTCTGTGCCCAATATATTTGCAAGGGATACATTTTTCGACCTAAAGCTTTGTATGGGATGCCAAATATTTGGAATCTCACCACGTCCTGTTCATGTACTGTATTGTGTATTTGAAATTTGCAGAATCAAGACGTTGTTCGCGACGCTTTGAACGAGAAAGGGAAAGACATCATGCGCAATGCTGACCCGGATAATGCGGAAAAGATTTCTTCTCAACTTGGCGTGATCAATAAATCTTGGAAGGAAGCGCTGAATGGCTTGGATACCAAATCTCGAGACATTAACAAGATGCTCGATGTCTGGGGCGACCACAACGTTCATTTAAAAGAAGTGGAAAACAAGTTGGCTGTGCTTAAGGAGAGGGTTCATTCGGTGGACGTTGTCACACTGGGGCTGTCTCAGCTGAAAGACATTGCCCCGACCGTCGAGGTAAATGTGATGAAAAATCTCGATGTTTTTTGTCTTATTTTTATGAATTTTCGACTGCTGTTCCCCAGGACATGAAGAATCAGTGTGAAACGCTTAAAGCGAAGGTGGAAAGAATGGAGATGACTGGAAAAATTGCAGCAGATCACATGAAGCCGTTTTCAGAGAAAAGTGCTGCTGAAATTTCTGAAAAAGTCGCAAAACACAAAGAACTCCATTCCTCGTTAGTCGTTGAAATATTATTGACACGAAGTGTTTCAAATTCTGCATTATCTGTTTTATGTTTCCAGCTTGATGCGAGCAATAGAAGAAAAGGTTTCCTGGGTGGGTGAAGAGCTCGGTTACATTCAGAACCTCAACCATTCCATTGCTGCATTGAAGAATTCGGCTCAAGAGATGCTTAAAAAAATTAGTCAAATCGACGTTTACAGCCAAAATTCCGATGCGAGTTCTTCTGATTGCGAGGTAAGCAATTGCTTTCTTCTCGAACTGTTCATCTGCAGTGCTGGAATAATTTATTTGAGTGATTCCTAGACTATATTTATTCCGGTGCCAGTGATATTCAAACGTTTGATTTTTGTATGAAATTCTAAAATTTACATGGTCATGTACTCCCAATGCAGGCAGTCAGTCAAATTAAATTTCGTTTTCCCGTTGTTCCCGAAATCCCTGACATTTTAAAATTAAGGGCTCTATGAGGACAGACAAACTTTTTCATGATGTAACTCCAATAGGTGAATTATTTACGAATAAAAAGTGTTAGAAAAATAAATGTTTCTGATCAAAGTACGACATCCTGTTCAGTACTGTAAAATTAGTTCGTATACGTTTTTGTCACCTTGCCAAGGAATGTATTATGTATACGCTCTAATGAAGCGCGACTCAAAATTTCTTCAGTTTCCGGTACTTGGCTGTTCGTCATTTGACATTGAGACTATTTCTTGGAAATAGAGAAGCGATCATGAGCTAAATTCCTATTTTTAAAGTTATTTTCCAATTTTATTACTTCACTGAACGTACTTTACTTTCTATGCGACTAAAAGTACCAGTGAACTGATTCCACGAAGCATTGAAATTGCATTTTTTGGTTTCTGTATGTTGAGCTTCAAATTTGATGAAATCGTACTTCGAGTTCCCAGAATAAATGTTCCAAAATTAGATATGGGTTTGGGAGGTTCACAGCATCAGTCGCACACCTATTTCAATGGACCAACTCACTGTCTCCGCTGGTGACAGATGATGTGACCCAGGTTCGAGACCACGTGGATACGTGACCTTAGCACCTGCGCCAAAATTCCGGTTGTCACCTTTTCAGTGGGAAAAGAAAAAAATTACTAAAAAATGAATCTTGGTTCAGCTCCCGTGGAACCCATGTTGTTACTACGCGTCTGTTTTCTGAGTTGGGTTACAGCAAGTGTTTTGTTGTTGTGTGCCGGGTTTGTTTTGGTCGCAGTTGGAAGGTTTCGTCGCTCTATGGGGATTTGTAAAGTAATCTTTTGAATTATCTTGTAGATACTTTCTTCCAGGGTTAGGCACTGCTGGTGTGCATACAGCAGTACCTCAGACGCGTAGATTAATCCGAGTCAAGTTCAGAAAGTATAGTGAGAAAATGTGCCAGATTATTTAATCACAAATAGAAAGTTTTTCAAATCTGAGGTCACCTGTGATGGCCTGATTGTCTTATTTTCGATTTTACAGAGTTGCCTTGGTTCTGCCAAAGATCTACAACAAAGAACCCGTGACTTCACGGAGGAAACCCAGAAACACTTCTCCTCTCACCACCTGACTGTTCCTTCAGAAACTACGAAAGAAGTGAATTTTTCATATTTTTTTCTGTGCATTTGAAACGAATTAACCATTTTAATATCATGATTCTTCAGTGTATGACTGAAAAAGTATGTGATTCTTATGATTGACGCTGCGTTGTTCTTTTTAGTTGTCGAGTTTGGAACTACTTGCGGAATCCTCGTCGACGAAAGTTCACGATGCCTTGAGGGATATCAAGAAAGCCAAGTCGCTTTGGAGTGATTTTGACAAGGACGTTGATGCCATCAAAGAATGGCTGGTGAGGTCAGAAGAGGCTCTGGATCAGAAAGGTTTGGAGCCTGCAGCTCTGAAGCAATCTCTTCAGGTGTGTTTAATATTATTTTTCCTAAAACGCAGAACAAATGAAATTGCTGGAAAAATATTTTTGGAACATTTTATATGCGCCTTTTTTTCGTGACTTCGCGCGGAACCGGACGGTTCTTTCTTGGAGGAAAAATGAGGTTTTACAATATAAGAAAAGTTTCTCATCTTTCACAATCCCAGGTCAACTATATGTGTAAGAAGGTATAAGTGATCATTTTGATGAGTGAATCAGTTCTTCGCCAACTTCGAATTTTTGCATAAGAAATGCCCATTTATTGCTTTATTGGTGTCGTAATCAGAAATTTCTGTGGCATTCTGAAACATATTTTTTATTAAGTAATTTGTGTGGTTTATTTTACTTCTTGTAGCAAATTCAAGCTGAATTGAGCAACTTCAGCGATATTTTTGACCGACTTTCGAGAGACGGTCAGTTCCTGTCCGAGAAGGTTCACAATGAAGCCGACAAGGAAAAAATTGAGTCAACAGTCACAACTCTTTCAGATCGGTTACAAAATACCAAAACTGTTCTGGAACAAAAATTCTCCCAGGTACCGAAATTTTGTTTTCTTCAGATTCCGCCGCTTCTGAACTTTTTCCCCTGATTGGCATTTTTTCCATGCCTTGTTCTAGATCGGAGAATCGTTGGAATCTTGGCATCGGTTCCTGCAGCTGTATGAGAATTTGAAAGAGTGGCTCGCGAAACAAAACACGTTTTTGGACCAGCCATTGACATTTTCGACGCTTGGAGATGCGAGACAAAAACATCAGTGTTATTCGGTTCGTTCTTCCGACATTTATTTTCTATTATTTTTCCAGCCGAGCCATTAGGAAGGATGTAAACAGATGCGTATCTATAGGAAGCCGCGTAGTGTTATTTATTTTAGTTGTTCAAGTATTGAGTTCGTATCTTTTCTAAAATTTTTAGATTCTCTAAATATACTGTAGACCAGTGTTTCTCAACCCGTGGTCCGCGGACCGGCAACGGTTCACAGAAGTTTTTTTGCCGGTCTGCGGGAAATTTTCTTCAGCATAATTAATTTATCAAAATTACCAATTAAGTTTGTTATCTCTGTCTGAATTTTTGCAAAAAGAATCACAGTTTAAATTATCCGATGAAAAAGTTGACTTTTCTTTTGATAACCTTTCAGACGACTTCTCAACTGCTGAAATTATTTATAATAACTTTTCATTCTGAGAAACCTTTCTTAAAGCCCACCTTTCTAATTTTTTGATGACGTTCCACTATGGCTGCTTCATTGATTCTCAACCTAATTTGTGCAAAAAAGCAGAAACTTTGTAAATATCCGCCATTAAGTCGTTCGAACAAAACTTCTTTGCATCTGCAAACATTTTATGAAACTTTGCCAGTCCGCAGAAAATGTTAATGAAAATTTGCTGGTCCGCGGGTCCAAAAAGGTCAGGGAACACTGCTGTAGACAATATCTAAACAAATTTGTTGTTTTTTGTTTGTTTGTAGTATGCAGTTAAGGACTGCAAAAATGCCATGAAGAGGGTAAATGACATGGCTAGGGAGCTCAATAACATCAACCAAGTCTCAAATTCCGGAGCTCTGGCCAGCAAACTCGCGGAAATCGAATCAGAGACGCACCAAGTCGACAATATCGTTCAAGAGCGGGTTCGTTTGGAATAATTTTATTTCTCCGAGATCCTTGGTCGGGATATTTTTAATATTTCGCTAATTTTCGTTGCATGCAGTGTGCTTTGTTGGGAGAAATGTGTGAAGAATGGGACCAGTTCGAAAAGAAGCTGAAAGATGTCGTCACGTGGATGGACAAGGGCGAGACCGGTCTCCATTCTGCTCCTCAAGGAAAGAAGCGATCGCTCAGGGAGCAATTACAAATGCGGGATAAAATGTTTCAAGATGTGCCGATTCAAAAAACAAAAATCAGCATGGCGCTTGAGAAACTTCTAGTAAGTTTTTTTTTTTTTTTAAGGATCATTTTAGAACTTATATCCAGCGGTTCGAACATCTTGGTACAGTACTTGTTTTATTGACTTTCTGAAAATCCTACTTTTAAAATTTTTGATAAATAATGCTTTTGTCTTTTCACCCAAGGTTCATTTTCGATTAAAAGTTGGGGATCCCTCAGAAGTCAAGAAGAGGGAAGGCGAGATGCAAGAAACGCTTGATAAGCTTTTAGTGAAGCTGAAAGAAGAAATGAATACGCTTGAAAAATGCGTGGTTCAGATTGAGGAATACCAGCAGGTAATAGTCAACGTGTTCCCTATATAATTTTGTAAATAGGTAAAATAATTTTTGTTTCACTTATTCCTTCTTAAATTGCAGGAAATTTTGAAGATCCGCCACGAGGTGTCGCATGCTGAGCAGCAACTCAGGCTTCTTTCGACTCCCAACTACGGCTCTGAAGGCAAAGACTTCCAGGCGTTCCAGCAATCGGTAAGTACCTCAACCCTGTTCCCGAAATATTCCCCGCGAACCCTCACACAGTTTCCCAATTTCCCTGCCCCAGAACAAAACTTCCAGGGTTTTATTTCAGAAATATTCCATCACAGCTTATTATTGTATAGCTCTGGCGCGGTTGATGCGCTTCAAGTACGGTAGTTGTGTTTGTAGGCTTATATATGTGTAGGATGACAGTGATTCATGTATCCGTAGGTATGACGTACTGGGCTAAAAATACTGTTGGTTTATGTATTTCGGGTACCCTAAAAAATAAAATATTTTCCTAAAAGTTGACATGAACGACGCTTTTAGAATTCTTTTGAGATGTGTTCTCAACCATGATGGGTTCTGATGGGATGTCGAAGAGGGTCGAGGGCGTAAATTCAATTTTAGAATAAGAGGAAAGCTTTGTACTGTCATTCTTTATGGGCACACTAGGGCTACGCTCATAGCTTTCATGCGCCTCACTTGAGGATGAAGTATTGTCTCATAAAAATGATGAATGACTTCATTTAAAGTTTTCTGCTAGAAATTATGTGTACTGTACTTCTAATCTAACGAGGTTGAAGTCGTAAATTTAGTCTAACGATTTGAAAACCTCACAGTTTCGTGCGTCGTACCAGCAGAGATGAGATGGTCGTGGGTTTTGAGACCTCCTTTTGGTTTTACAATTTTGCAGGACTACATTTTCAATATGCTCTCTTGAGTCTAGTGGTATATATAGAAAGCAAATGCATAAATTTGCGGTTGTTGAATTGAGAGGGTGATTCCCTCAAGTTTTCAAGTGAAGAAAATATATTTTGGATGGCATGAGCCACCTAAAGGAATAAGATGCAGGAAAAAGAGCAGCTTTTGATGTGGAGACCAGAAACTTCCTGAATGAATGGATCCTTTACCCGCCCAAGAATTGCGTCATTAAGACGAAGATGCGAACATTATGATAACCTGGAGGATGAGGAAAAAGCTGTGAGACGAGGAAAAGAAAAATCAGCATNTTTTTTTTTAAGCTTGAACTATCCGTAGACAAATCTTTCCGCCCACAAGTAATAAACATTTTTTGAAAGGCCTGATCACAATGGGACACTTCCGGGAACATGGATTTCATTCTCGACCACTGAATCACTGAGATTCCTTCAGCAAAAGCTTTTTCAGTTCGCACCCAAGCACAAATACTCGAGAATAAAAAAATGGCTTTCAAGGTCAATTATTTCACAGGATTCGTGTGACTAAAATAATCGCAGAATTCGAATAACAATAAGGAGGGTTGATGATTAGTCGATGGAATTGATTCAACAGAACACAACGGTCGAAGCTTGTCCGCATAAATAAGGACTGAAAACGGGTCCACTTTTGCCGGTCGGGGTTCGGATGTCACAAGGTTCGTATACAGGAGAGGATTTTTGCCTGTGTCTGGGGTTCTGTGTGGGTTGTGTGGGTGCCATCCTGGCCCAGCGCCAAACACGCAGAAATTTTTTCGTATTTCGGCACGTCAAACTCCGGTGCTTCGTCGCCGAAATTCAAACTCCTTCGCCTTTATTCACTCTCACTCTAATTTTTTCTTCTAGCCCACACGATAACACACGCAACAACCACGGCTTCGATTCAGGGAAAACATCAATCAGGGGTTTTCTCAATTTACGCAAATCATCACGGGATCATTATGCACAGCTTCTCAATCATGCAGCAAAGGAATACGCATGCAATTTACCATCACAGGCGACAAGCATCATGCAGACGAGTGTTCCGGTTCATCGCAAAGAAATACGAAGAGAAAGAGGGAGTTTTGCGTTAAGCAAATGCAGTTCGAGAAGAATAAATTCGATGAAAGAAGGAAATTCATAGCAGTTCGAAGATCTTAGTACGGATGAATACACGTTGTCACGCGCCACCGCGGACGTCAGTGACGACGAGAAGTAGAAGCACGCGGGTTAATTAGTCGACGGAGTGCCAGCAAAACATAAGAAGAAAGTCGGATTCTGGCGAGCGATCCGGGTATACTGTATATAGCGAAGCACGTGAGTCTGTCTACCGGCGAAATGGCGGAAAGAACACAGACAGACAGACGCTGGCACAGGATGCTGATTTTTCTTTTCCTCGTCTCACAGCTTTTTCCTCATCCTCCAGGTTATCATAATGTTCGCATCTTCGTCTTAATGACGCAATTCTTGGGCGGGTAAAGGATCCATTCATTCAGGAAGTTTCTGGTCTCCACATCAAAAGCTGCTCTTTTTCCTGCATCTTATTCCTTTAGGTGGCTCATGCCATCCAAAATATATTTTCTTCACTTGAAAACTTGAGGGAATCACCCTCTCAATTCAACAACCGCAAATTTATGCATTTGCTTTCTATATATACCACTAGACTCAAGAGAGCATATTGAAAATGTAGTCCTGCAAAATTGTAAAACCAAAAGGAGGTCTCAAAACCCACGACCATCTCATCTCTGCTGGTACGACGCACGAAACTGTGAGGTTTTCAAATCGTTAGACTAAATTTACGACTTCAACCTCGTTAGATTAGAAGTACAGTACACATAATTTCTAGCAGAAAACTTTAAATGAAGTCATTCATCATTTTTATGAGACAATACTTCATCCTCAAGTGAGGCGCATGAAAGCTATGAGCGTAGCCCTAGTGTGCCCATAAAGAATGACAGTACAAAGCTTTCCTCTTATTCTAAAATTGAATTTACGCCCTCGACCCTCTTCGACATCCCATCAGAACCCATCATGGTTGAGAACACATCTCAAAAGAATTCTAAAAGCGTCGTTCATGTCAACTTTTAGGAAAATATTTTATTTTTTAGGGTACCCGAAATACATAAACCAACAGTATTTTTAGCCCAGTACGTCATACCTACGGATACATGAATCACTGTCATCCTACACATATATAAGCCTACAAACACAACTACCGTACTTGAAGCGCATCAACCGCGCCAGAGCTATACAATAATAAGCTGTGATGGAATATTTCTGAAATAAAACCCTGGAAGTTTTGTTCTGGGGCAGGGAAATTGGGAAACTGTGTGAGGGTTCGCGGGGAATATTTCGGGAACAGGGTTGAGGTACTTACCGATTGCTGGAACGCCTGGAAGTCTTTGCCTTCAGAGCCGTAGTTGGGAGTCGAAAGAAGCCTGAGTTGCTGCTCAGCATGCGACACCTCGTGGCGGATCTTCAAAATTTCCTGCAATTTAAGAAGGAATAAGTGAAACAAAAATTATTTTACCTATTTACAAAATTATATAGGGAACACGTTGACTATTACCTGCTGGTATTCCTCAATCTGAACCACGCATTTTTCAAGCGTATTCATTTCTTCTTTCAGCTTCACTAAAAGCTTATCAAGCGTTTCTTGCATCTCGCCTTCCCTCTTTTTGACTTCTGAGGGATCCCCAACTTTTAATCGAAAATGAACCTTGGGTGAAAAGACAAAAGCATTATTTATCAAAAATTTTAAACGTAGGATTTTCAGAAATGTCAATAATACAAGTACTGTACCAAGATGTTCGAACCAGCACACGCTGGAAATAAGTTCTAAAATTGAACTTTAAAAAAGAACTTACTAGAAGTTTCTCAAGCGCCATGCTGATTTTTGTTTTTTGAATCGGCACATCTTGAAACATTTTATCCCGCATTTGTAATTGTTCCCTGAGCGATCGCTTCTTTCCTTGAGGAGCAGAATGGAGACCAGTCTCGCCCTTGTCCATCCACGTGACGACATCTTTCAGCTTCTTTTCGAACTGGTCCCATTCTTCACACATTTCTCCCAACAAAGCACACTGCATGCAACGAAAATTAGCGAAATACAGTATTACTAATATCCCGACCAAGGATCTCGAAGAAATAAAATTATTCAAAACGAACCCGCTCTTGAACGATGTTGTCGACTTGGTGCGTCTCTGATTCGATTTCCGCGAGTTTGCTGGCCAGAGCTCCGGAATTTGAGACTTGGTTGATGTTATTGAGCTCCCTAGCCATGTCATTTACCCTCTTCATGGCATTTTTGCAGTCCTTAACTGCATACTAAAAACAAAAAACCCACAAATCTATATAGATATTGTCTTAAGCAGTGTTCCCTGACCTTTTTGGACCCGCGGACCAGCAAATTTTCATTAACGTTTTCTGCGGACTGGCGAAGTTTCATAAATTGTTTGCAGATGCTAAGAAGTTTTTTTCAAAAGGCTTCATGGCCGATATTTAAAAAGTTTATGCTTCTTTGAACAAATTAGATTAAGAATCAATGAAGCAGCCATAGTGAAATGTCATAAAAAAAATTAGAAATGTGGGCTTGAAGAAAGGTTTCTCAGAATGAAAAGTTGATATAATTAATTTCAGCAGTTGAAAAGTTGTCTGAAAGGTTATTAAAAGAAAAGTCAACTTTTTCATCTGATAATTTAAACTGTGATTGTCTTTGCGAAAATTCAGACGAAGATAACAAACTTAATTGCTAATTTTGATAAATTGATTATACTGAAGAAAATTTCCCGCAGACCGGCATAAAACTTCTGTGAACCGTTGCCGGTCCGCGGACCACGGGTTGAGAAACACTGGTCTACAGTATATTTAGAGAATCTAAAAATTTTAGAAAATAAACGAACTCAATACTTGAACAATTAAAATAAATACCACTACGCGGCTTTCTAGATACGCATCTGTTTACATCCGTCTTATTGGCTTGGCTGGAAAAAGAATAGCAAATAAATGTCGGAAGAACGAACCGAATAACACTGATGTTTTTGTCTCGCATCTCCAAGCGTCGAAAATGTCAATGGCTGGTCCAAAAACGTGTTTTGTTTCGCGAGCCACTCTTTCAAATTCTCAT